TACCTCCTTCCCCGCAACCTCATGGTTAAATCACTTTTAAATTGAGTTGTGTACTCATCATCAGTCTTAGAAAGTGCTCCCTCTCCCCTCCCACATACATTGTTTGCTCCCTCAACCCCCTCACTGTCCCTATCTCTCAGCCCTCACCTCTACCAGCCCTAGAAACCCTGTTATCTGTATAAGCCCCTACCTTTTTTTTTTTTTTTTTGCATAAGCCTTAATCTACCTTCATTTAATAAGTTTTTGTATCTTGTGTCTTGTGGTAGTTAGATAATCTGGTGTCAACTTGTGGAAGGGTGGAGTCTAGCCTGTCAATCAGGTCGCAGCTTGATGACCTCATTTGGAGGCTCTAAGGAGATAAATAGCTCCCTGGAGGTGGGACACACAGACACTCCCTGTGAGACATTCCTGTTGAGAAGACACATGGAGCTATGCTAGAGCCCTTAAGCTGAAGGAGCCATGTGGAGACCCCTGCCAGTGCTGAGATGATTACACCGCCACTGGATCCACAAGACTTTCCACCCATTGGCCTATGATCTTCCTGCATTCGGGCATCATTGCATATGTTATATGAGTCTGAAGAGGAATTTATAGATTGGTATCAAGACATGAACTATTAACGGACTTGTGGACTTGATCTGGACTGGGCTGGGATGTTTTCTCAATATTCAATTGCTCTTGTACATAAAGCTCTTTCTTATACACATATGAGTGTCTATGAATTTGTTTTTCTAGTCTCCGCAGACTAACACATATCTTAATTAGCATCCAGATGATTAGTTTTATTTCTTTGGCACTATTTCTGTCTAACGTACTTTTTGGATTCTCACAAGGTATCTTCGTATTGTCTTGTAGAGTCCACATTCACTCAGACAGAGCCATAGACTTGCTTTTTCTCAGTGTATGTGCTCCTTCTTGTGTCTGGGATCATTTTTCTTAATTTTAAAAAGTTACTTTTAGGAGTTCTTTTCATGCTTTCCTGGAAATGAATTCTCTTGGTTTTTGTTTATCTCAAAGTATCTGTAGTTCATCTTCATTTGAAGTAGACATGTTCTGGATATAGCAAAACGTGTGGGGCCTCCATTTGCTGACGTGGCAGGACTCAAATGAAAAGGGACAGCTGGAGACATCTATTCATAGTCAGAAGGTAGAAAGTACAAAGCATGAATCTTGGAAAATTGAAAGTCACCAAAAATTAAATAGAGCCATAAAGATTGATATTCTAGGCATCACTGAGCTGGAAGGGACTTATCTTGGCCATTTTGAATCAGACAAGCATGTGGCTTATGTTCTGGGAATGACAAATTCAAGAGAATTGGTGTCACATTCATTACCAAAAAGAACATTACAAGAACTCTCTTGAAGTCCAGTGTTGTCCATGATAGGATAATATCTGTACATCTACAAGAAAGACCAATGAATACAGCGATTGTTTACATTTATGCACCTTAAGCCAAGGATTCTTGATTTCAGGCATTTGTGCAAACAGAACAAAGGAAGACAGCAAGGTTTGTACTCGCAGGAAAGTTGTGCGTGATGGTTGTGTCCTCTCACCACACTTGCTCAATCTGCATGCTGAGCAAATCACCAGAGAAGCTCGATTATATGAAGAAGATTTCAGCATCAAGATTGGAGGAAAGCTTATTAACAACTTGTGATAGGCAGATGACACAACCTGACTTGCTGAAAGTGAAGAGCACCTGAAGGAATTACTGATAAATATCCCGATTGCAGCCTTCAATATGACTAACTACTTAATTTAAAGGTAACCTAGCTCCTCACAACTGGACCAATAGGTGACATCGTGACAAACCGCGTGAGATTGATGCTGTGAAGGATTTCATCTTGCTTGAATCCACAGTCAGTGCTCATGGAAACAGCAGAACATGAGACAGGCAGTGGACTTCCCAAATTAAAAAATATATATATTAAAGTATAAAAACTTTCATGAAAACCCTACAGAAAGATTAAGTCATGTACATGGGTGTTGATGTATCTACCACTCTGGGTACCAGAAAGAATCCAGAGAGATGTTAAAAGTCACATAAAATACAATGTACAAGGTTACTTACAAAGACTACAGCCTTCAATATGAATTGCAACTCAGCGTAAAGAAGATCAAAATTCTCGCAACTGGACCAATAGACAACAACATGATGAATGGAGAAAAGACTGAAGTTATTTCATTTCGCTTGGATCCTCAGTCAATGCTCACAGAAGCAGTCGTCAAGAAATCAAATGACACGTGGCCCTGGGCAAATCTTCTGCACCAGACCTCTTTCCAATGCAAAAGCAGAAATTTCACTTTAGAGCCGATACAGGCCAGGCTATTTATAAATGGCTCATGCATGCCAAAGTCGGTTAATGACTAAGGGAGACTGCAGAAGAATTGCTGCCTTTGATCGTGAGGTTGGTCAAGAACATTGAAAGCGCCTTGGATTGCCAGAAGAACACCTGGGTCTGTCTTGGAGGAACTACAACCGGAAGGCTGCCTAGAAGTCAAGGTGGTGAAACGTAGTCGAATTTAGTTTGCACCCGTTAGCAGCAGAGACCGGCCCTTGGAGAAGGACATCCTGTTTGAGCCGCGAAAAAGGAGCATGATGGGCTGACCCCATGGCTGCAACGGTGGGCTTCTGTATAACAAGTGTGAGAACGCTGTGGGGTCAGGCCGGGCTTCACGCCCCTGTACGTGGGTCGCCATGAGTAAGCGCCGGCGTAGTGGCACCTGACAACAGCATGGAATTCTACGTGTTCTGTGCTATCCCAGATATACCACTTCCTAATAGTCTGGTAGATGGGTGGGCTTTATTGGGCCTCCACTAGTTTTTAAAGTTATAATGTTTAATATCAATATCATTTAGTTTCCCCTCGATATATCTCTGTTACGATCTAATGCCATTGTACCTAGGGGGAAAGTGACTGAATTCAAGTGTAACTTCTGCCATTTATGACCCATGTGATCTAGGCAAAGTCACTTAACTTCTCTGATCCTGTAATCCTTGATACCACGGGGCAAAAGTATAATATCAGCTCTACGTCCTTGGGTAGTTAGGAAACATGGTTAAGACATGTGTAAGTACCTTGGAAAAAATGTGAAGTACTAATCCATTTGACATATTTTGTTGTTGTTATTATTTATTGGAACTGAACTATTCTCCATGCATATATGCAGACTTCTTTTACAGATAAGCAATTTCATGAAAAGGTTAGAACAGTGTTCATGCACATGTGTGTTTATGTATCCACCCCTGCTGGTACCAGAAAGAATTGAAAGTTATGTAAAATACAGCTTATCAGGTTAATCACAAACTCATCCCTAACTGTTTGCAATGCAGTGAATTATTTAATATGGCTCTTCTTGCCATTGCCTTGTTATAGCCACCAAGAGACTTTTCCTTGATGGGTCTAAGTAAGAAGTGGGGGAGGATCTTGATTCACATAGACAATTCAGTTGTGAGTGATTGTCATCCTGCTGGGGCTAACATGAACCACCTCTGAAGCAGATGAACCATCTCATTACCAGCAAGAGCCAGAAGTGGAGCAAGGCCTCTGGACCCTGGAGATCCCTGTGCCGCGAGCCTCCTTGATACAGGAGACAGCTTTGACACCAGAGGAGTGCCAGAGGAGCAGCCGCAGAACCAGAGCATGAGGCAGGCAGTGCACTTCCCAGCCCACAGAGCAAGTGAAGCTGAGGGCTTGGGGGCAGGAGGCTGGCTTGTGGAGTGGGTGCCATTGGGCATTTCATTCAGGGAGCTAAATTGGCAGACCTACGAGCCGGAGCAGCGGGCTTTCGGGTTGCATTTTAGAATGGAGCAGCGTTTAGCAAAGTCCCTGAAAGCGCTTTGCAACATGTCCTGACCGAACCACTGTATCCTGAGCATTTCTCACCCGGATGGTGGCCTGTCACCTTCCCTTATAAGCTCCATGATTGTGAGCATTGTCTGTGTGTTCTGTGCAGCCACTGCAAGGAATTATAGAACCCAGAAGGAAAATAGAACATTCAGTGGGAGACAGAGTAGGAAAAGTAGAGCATGCTGTTTGAGACAGTGCACCTTTCAAGCAATGGACAGAAGATATTCATAATGTCCATGTGAGCAACATAAATATACTATTCAGGGAAGTACAGCTCTTTCTGAATATGAAGGCCAGGCAGGATTGTCTTCTCATTTCTCTTTAAAAGATTTCTGTTGGTTTAGAGGTGACTGATTTGCATGGTCGATCTAAATCAGCATTGGGTTGATGTAGAATTTTAATATTCTGTTTTATACCCCAAAGGAAGATGATACATTTTAATGGGAGCTGCAAGTAGCTGCTCTTTCACCCAACTTGCAAATGGATTATATTCAGAAATCTCATAAAGAATGCCAGTTTCCTTCTCAAAGTGCTTGGCTGCACATTCGAGGCAAGGTTAGGCTGATAAACCAAAATTTTGTTTTGCTTTTATAATATTAACCGAGTTGCTTTAGGGTGACAGGATTTCGTTTCCTTCTATTTTCCCTCCACAGAAATTAATTTTAAAAGTCCTTTATTGATCAAATATTTAAGTGCCTGCTGTGTACGTTGGACATGTTATCAAGAGAGACCGAAGCCGTGGAACGAGGACATCATGATTCGTAAAGTAGAGGGGCAGCATGAAAGAGCACGGCCCTCCACACGGCGGCTGCCAGGATGGCTCAAACATCCTAGTGGGGAGGGTGGCCAGGACCTGCTGGTGGTTCATTCCGTGTACACAGGTCGCTATGAGTCGGGGCGACCACAGCGGGTGCAGGCATATTGCTTGGTTGGGTTGCTCTCCCTCCACACTGTTCCTTCAGACTTCCCTTTTGTGTTTTCGAAGTCACCCTGTCTCTAACTGACAACAAACGAAGGAAGTGCAGTTTTAAGCGCAGTGGCGGGCAGTGGTCCACAGGCAGTGCCCCAACAGCTGGGGTCTGGAAGGAGGGACACACTTCACCCAGGGCCATGTCCTTGTTTCAGTTCTCTGACTCTCTCGTCTCCAGGTCCCTGGCATGCATTTTATACGAGATGTGCTGCATGAGGCATGCATTCGCTGGCTCCAATTTCCTGTCGGTTGTGTTGAAAATCGTGGAAGGCGACACACCTTCTCTCCCTGAGAGCTATCCAAGGGAACTAAACACCATCATGCGAAGGTAATGGCGAATTGCTGCGTCTCGCCAAAGCAGTGTTGGGTTGTACCTCGGTTTCAGCTCCTTTGAACATTCACTCTCTTTCCTCCTTTACAGCATGTTGAACAAGAACCCGTCACTGAGACCATCTGCCATGGAGATTTTAAAAGTCCCTTACATTGAGGGGCAACTGCAGGTACTTAAAGGAAAAGGATATTGAGAAGCAAGCGCTAGCATGCAGGTGCGTGTCCTAGAAGATAAAGATAATGCCGAGGGAGTAAGATGCGTGAGGAACCAGTCAGAAAGGAGGAACGGGATTAAGAAGGAGCTGAGGGCAGTATTAGTCATGACCACCTCTTTGCCAAAGAAGGTACGTGAACCTGAATTCCTTGGTGCCACTGGAGAAGTTAGGCTTGTGATTTTTGTGTGTGTCTAAACTCAATTTCTACCCTCGGGACTCTTGGTTTGCACGTCCCATCTCAAATCTTTATCAAGGTATCCCCGTTAGGACAGGGAGGAATGAGCCCTGGTGGCATAAGGGGCACTCTCTGCTAACCCAAGATCAACGGTTTGAAACTACCCACTGCTCTGAGGGAGGAAGACCAAGCTTTCGACTCCCATTACGAGTGACAGCCTCAGAACCCCCCAGGGGACGTCCCATTCCAACCCTCTGGGGTGGTGATGAGTTGAAAACGACCCAATGGAAGTGAGTTTGGTTTTGTTCTTGAGGACAAGGTGCAAAGATGCACCAGGACTCCTTCTAAAATCCGAGATTTTCATATGCTGGTCTAATTGTACAGCTCTGCCATATTTTTATTGGTTAGGTGAGTTATTATTATTTTGGTAGATCAGAAAAGTGACATACGGAGTCTTTCTCAGGTGACAAGAGAAATGGCTCTCCTTTGAGAAATTAAAAAAAAGAAAAAAAGCCTTTTAAGACACACATCCCTCATGGGAATTGCCTCTAATTTTGTGAGCAGCTCCAAGAGGAACCTTGTTGGCATTCAATGACCTTAACATTTCGGTGCCTTTCCGTGAGCAGGGAAGTCCTAAACCCAGAGGGAAACAGGACAAGGCCTTGCATTTTTTAGTTCAGTGAGGCGGTGGGGTGGGGGTGGGGATGGCCTTTGGGTTGTTTTGGGGTGCCGTCGCGTCAGCCCAGACTCCCAGGGACCCTGTGCACCACAGATGGAACCCCCTCCCAGTCCTGCACCGTCCTCCTAGTCGCTGTGTGTTTCCACCGCCGTGCAACCTCAGGGGCTCAGCGCCCAGCGCTGTGCGGCTGCAGCAACCGCTCCATGCTTTTCGGAGGAGTGTCCCTGGCTCATGTTGTAGAAGCAGCTCACCAGGTCTTTCTTCCTAGTCTCTCGTCGTCTGGCCAGGCCTCTGAAAGCTGTCCACCTGACCAGGTGAAATACCGGTCTCCTAGCTTCCAGCATCACAGGACAACTTGCGAGTCACCGCAAGGCACCGAGCTGACAGGCGTGGGGGCCGTGCCAGGCCAGGCCAGGCTGCCACCATGAAAGGCCCTGATAGGCTTCCTGCACTTGTCCTTGGGGGAGTCTGCGCAATAGCTTTTTGGTGCGTTGGGCACCACGTTGCCTCACCAGCCACTCTCCCAGTGGTTGTTCCCAAAGTCAGTGAATAGAAGAAGGGCACATGACCGAAAGCACTGGGGAGAAAGCAGACAGGAAGGGATCCGCATAGAGAAGGGGCGGGGTCTTAATGGCCATTGGAGGAGTAACCCCAAATCCGAAAACCACTGCGGTCGAAATCAGTCTGGACTCGTAGGGACCCTCCCGACACAAGGTTGCCAAGAATGTAAACCTTCCTGGGAACCGAAAACTTTTTCTTTCTCCTGAGGAATGCCTGGTGGGTTTGAACTGGCGACCTGGAGGCTAGCACCTCCGTGGTGACATTTCAATATCCTTGAGACAGATGAGAAGACGTCAGCCACATGCAGAGCCTCACGTGAGTGGAAACATAAAAGAGCTCGCACCCAGCCCCTGTGTTACATCATGTTTCTTGGAAGTCAACACAAGGAGGGTCTTCTGCAAGAGGGTACCGCCCAGGGGCGTTCATGCGGGAGGGGAGCAAAGCACAGTGCCCGAAGGAGGGGGTGCTAAGCTCCCGGTTCTTCTCCAAAAGAGATGACGGAGCTCACTGTCAAGGAGTTGATTCCCAAACTGGGTAGAACTGTATCTACCCCCGTGGGTTTCCGAGACTTTCTGTCTCATCGCTGTCCTGAGGAGCAGAGGGTGGTTTCAAACTGCTGGCTTGGCGGTTAGCAGCCCAACCTATCACGCACTGCACCACCCGGGAGGCGTCTTCTGGTTCTTCTCCAAAGGGACCCTGGGGGCTCTGGCAAGACCAGACCGAGCCAGGTGAGTGATTCACTCCGAGTAAAAGAATTTAAGAGGATACTCCAAAGCAGCACTCGGCGAGCAAGACAAATCCTTCTTTTCATACCATACTTCCTTAAAAATAAAGATGTCCCGACGACGATGAACAAAATGCCCAGTTTTAGTAGAGACCAGGTGGGACAGCACCAGGATTAGGAGGGTGCTATCGAGGTAGGCTTGTGCCAGGGCTGGGTTGGAACTTTCGAATTTCCTGAACCTGGTGGATTTGGGGCATTCCGTCTGAGCCTCTGTCACCGTGCTGTCAGATCTACTGATCTTGGTGATTGAGTGTTTTGAGACCCCCTTACGCTCCGTTCCTGAGGTTAATGCCTCACTCTGCCTCGCCCTGCCGGACACCCATCGGCCACCACAGGAGACAGCTGCTGGCATATCATTGGAGCAGGTGAAGGCCTGCCCCACCGCTGGGTACCAGGGCCCGCCCGAGAGAGCCGGCAGTGAGCGCCATGGAAAATGGTGTTGCATGGCGTAGGCCGGAGGGAGCCGCATCCAGCAGGACCTTGTTCCATAAGCTACCATGTAATTTTATGTAAGCCTTTCTAAAGGGAAAAAAGTTACCCAGAGCTTGGTTTTCAGGCTCGCTCCCACGGCCCCTGGTCAATAATGCCGCAAGTCACCCAAGGCACATGGGCGTTTTACACCCTTACATCCCCAAGGAGGATCCCTTCCTTAAGGTTTGTCTGGGCTGTTGCTTTGTTTTTCAGCACCTGATGTGTACATATTCCGAAAGGACTCTGAAAGACACAAATTTGAATTGTCAGGAGGAGGCTGCTCATATAATTAATGTCGTGTAAGTAATTGCTTTGTTTTTAAAAAGCCCACAGAGCGTAAATGTTAAATGCGTTTGTCTTTAAAAATCTCTTAGTGCTAAGCTGACTGCAGGAAGTGCCCTAGAACTCACTGAAGCCTTGCCAAGAAATTAAGGAGCGTCAATAACTTTGCCTTCCAAAGCCCTTTGCCCCAGGTGGTAGCAAATTAAAGTCATAAAAGTTTAAACGGACGCACAGCTTACAGATCTGCAGGGTGGCTCCGCGGTTGCTGTGTCAGTGTACGGAGAAATTAATATCTCAGACACTCGGTGAGGTTTATGCTAATGGGCCTTCCAGAGGAAGCAGAAATGGCATTCACGTGTTTGTATAACAGGACCTGGCAGGGCATCCATTCAAAAGAGAATCGCGTGGCATCCTGGGACAACTTTAAAACAGCAACAACAAAAAGCCAAAATGTACTTTTCTTGAGCTAGTCTTTCACATACGAACCAGACCAAGTTGTATGTCATAAGGAGCCATAATTGCTTCCCAGCGAAATGCCTTTTCTCTACCTCGTTAAAAATATTTTATACTGCAACTTGCAAGAGGCCAGAACAGAGGAATGTGGCCGACAGACCCCTTCAGACACACATGCACAGCTGTCCAGGCTGCGCACTGCACAACTCAACCAAACCGCTTATAGAGACGGAACCCGTCATTGTCTATTTAACCTTAGAGAGACCGGGGGAGAAGGGCAGTTGCAAGGCAGTGGTGTGAGAACAGGAGCCTCTCCACAGGCTGATCTCCAAGGTCAACTAGCACCAATGAGTTCCTAGTCTAACCCCCGGCGAGCGGTTCCTCAGCTGCTCCGGGTTTACCTTTTGTTTTCACCTTCAGACCAAAGAAACCAGTCAGAAATGCATGCTGGGAAGATCTCTGACTTGCCCACCAAGGCAGATTTTCTAAAGGTATACCACCAGACCCTGGGCCAATGTTAGGAACGGATGCCACGGCTCTAGTCTTCGGAAATTCAGGCAAACCAAGGATGCCCGGATCTCAGAGATGCAGGGTCTCTTTCTAGTCACTTCCGGGAGGATGGGCCAAACCTGATCACGAGTGAAATTGCTGTGTGGCCACGGGATTTTCCATCTTGCGTCTAAGCCTCAAGTGTATTTCCTTATAGACCCATCATTAGCTGTGACTTTGAGAGGATGCCCGTTTCCTTACCGTGAGGGTGTTTGTTGGCTCCCCAGATGATCGGGTCAGTGGCTGGCACCCCGGTGGGCACGGTCTTGAAACTGCTGTTGCTTTGCTGTGGTGTGTATTTGGACCATGGCACAGTGACATGGGTCAGACCCTTCTCACGACCTTGCCACTTGCTGTAAGACATATATTTTTAACCCCTAGATAGAAATCAGTCTCAGGGCACTCATGTTTGTGGAGGAGAGGGATTACATGAATCAATCAAATGGAAAGCTAATTTACAGTTGCCCCTCCTGTACGCTCCCAAATCATTTATTCAAGTGGTTCAGGCGACCAGTTCTAGGGACCTTTTCCCCTCCAGGCCCTGTGATACCACCACTGTCCTGCTACATGTTGATCCCCTTGTTGGAAGCCATGGCTCTTACTCCTAGGGCCCAGCTTCGTTTTCCCTGCTATGGTGTGACAGTTCACTTCATTCCCAACCACCCTTTGGCAGAAGGTTCAGCAAGTTAGCCCAGTGCTTCTATGTCAGCAGTTCTCAACCTGTGGGTCATGACCCCTTTCGGTTGAAAGCCCCTTTCATGGGGGTCACCTGATTCATAACAGTAGCAAAATGACAGTTATGAAGTAGCAACGAAAATAATGTTTTTGTTGGGGGGGTCACCACAAAATGAGGAACTGTAATAAAGGGTCGTGGCATTAGAAAGGTTGAGAACCACTGCTCTATGCCAACCTTCCCCTTGTATCCCAGTCCAGCCTACCACAGCCTTCCAGGTAGAAGGCCCTGGAGGTGCTGAGTCTTGACACTTATAGGCCACCTGGGATTAATATTGCATGAACCAAAGGCTCAAGACATTCAGGTCTGAACTCAGTTGGACAGAACCTGAGCCCTTGTGGAATGCATGCTCTCCTGATAAAACATATTTTCCCTCAGTGGGTAATTTGGTGGTTTATTCCTCATGACCTAGTCTTTTTTGGTTGCTAGTTTGAACTTGAAGAAAGTCTTGGATTACTTATTTCATTTTATTTTATCCCACGAAAGCAGACACTTCTAGACTGCAGGACAAATTCTGCCTTTTATTGGACATAATGCTCAGGAGCCCGTTTGCCTCACGCTGTTCGCAGTGGGCTGCGTGCTAAGACCCAATTGCTCGGAGTGCAGTTCATGTTATGAAATACTGGTCTCAAGTGGCCCCTCTGTTATTTCTGAGATCTAGGACTTTGTCTTTAAGGAGATCTACTTTGGTCTTAGAAAATAAGGAATGGCTATTCCTGCAGACTGTATAGCTCCTGCAGGCCCTGGGCCCGGCAGTACTCTTGAGGGCCCAGGAATGGTCCCTACAATGGTCCTTGCAATTTTCTCCCCGTGTTTCTTATGGAGACGGTTGGTTCTGAAAGGCGTTCTACAGGACCAGGACTCAACCAAGCCTGGACCAGATATACATGTTGTTGAGAATATGATTGCAACCTCTCAGTGTGGGATTATTTTCATTACATTTCTCTTGATGCAGAAAAGACACTTTAAAATAACATCAGCTAATGTGACTTCAGGAGGTTTGATGATATAATGGTTATGACTTGGGCTGCAACCTTGAGGCCAGCAGTTCGAAACCACCAGCTGCTCCATGGGAAAAAGACAAGGCTTTCTGTTCCTGGAGAGAGTTACAGTCTTGGAAACCCACAGGGACAGTTCTACTCTGTCTTATGGGGTGGCCATGAGTCAGAATCAACTTAATGGGAGCGAGTTTGGGTTTGGGGAGAACATGATTTTGATAATAGCCATATTCTTGACTCTGCCATAGCGCATTTTCTAAATTCACTCATTTAAACTCACAGCAACCTATGAGGTACATACATCTTTTTCAGTCTGAGAGAGGTTGGCTAATCTTCCCAAAGGCATTGAACTTACAACTTGTGGAGCTGGGATTGGAACCTGAGAGTATTACTAACCATATAACCAATCACTGCCCCCCCCCCATGCTACCCTCAAAACACCATACTGTATAAAGTTTTAAAAAAAAACCAAAAGCCAAACTCACTGCCATCAGTCGATGCCGACTCACAGCGACCCTATTGGACAGGGTAGAACAGCTCCCTGTGAGTTTCCAAAACTATAACTCTGTAAGAGGGTAGAAAGCCCCATCTTTATGCCTCAGAGAGGCTGATGGTTTCAAATGGCTGACCCCGCATTTAGCAGCCCTACGCGTAACCACTAGGCTATCAGGGCATGCAGTAAAATCCCACTCGAAAACCGCTACCACTATGTAAGCTTTTTGTGCACCAGGAACTGCACATGCGTTATCCTGTATGATACTCTCATTTGCACACTCTTCATGGAAGAGGTTAAATACGCTTACCCACCACCGTGGGGCTTGAGCATGGTGGGGGTTTGATTGAAGCCTGTCCAGCTCCATAGGCCGGGTGCCCGTCCCCTCAGTTGGCTTGCTCTGCCAGTTAACTTCCTCATTCATTTGAGCTCCTCATTTGCCTTAAATTATGAAAACCACTCACAGGCGATGGAATGAGCCAACATTAGGAGCATGCGTCATTTGCTTTTAAACAAAAATCTCATTTGAAACATATTGCCAATTTACTAGTCCTGGTTGGCTCATTACCTACCCAGAGTTTATTAGTTTTGTTTGTTTGTTTATTTTCTGCCTGGCCTGTCTCAAGATGCTCTCCCCCTCCTGTGAAATATTTGCTTCATTTTTCGGAGCATGTTGGGGATGCGTTGCAGGTGGGGAACCTTTATGATTTATAGGCAAAGGATGAGTCACCTCCAGACCTTGCAGGAGCTGTCCAAAGAGCAGAGCATGCTGCCACCGCCGAGGGAAAGGACCCGGCTGAGGCAGCTGCAGACAGCTGATGAGAAGGCCCGGAAGCTGAAGTGAGCTGCCTTTCCTTCAGGACCCCACCCCTTCCTTGGCCGCTTCCCAGGGCTCTCAAGAAATTGACTCCAGAAAGGCGGAAAGCACTCTAAGAAATGAAAACGAGCCCGCTCGTGTATTTATTTGCTTACGCATTTACTTATTCACTCCTTTTCCCAAGACAAATTACTGGTCCCCGGATAGGTATTAAATGCCAGGCACCGTTAGCATCCGGCTTCCAGTCTTGTGTGAAGGGAAAGGCGGACTCTCAGAGAGGTTACTAGAGATGAAAATGAGTCTCTCCTCAAATGGTAGCGTATGGTTGCCTGGGAAGAGGGTGAGAATGAGGCTTCGAGACCCCACTGCCATCCTAAACTCAGCAAGAGGCCCAGCTGATCATCCTGCGGGAGGAGCATGCACTAAGGCTAGGAGCTGGGAAGCAGTGCTGCGTTGGGGGAGAGAAGTCTCATAAAGTCTGCACTCAGGGCTTTGCTGCTGGTGGGCGCCACTGGGCGTTAGAGTATTTACAGGAGGAAGGGGAATCCCAGGGAGCCTCAGACTCTGTGTCCCAGACTGATGGGAGCGTATGATCCACTTTCCTAAGGTCCCTCCTCCTCCCTGAACCCGCCAGCTTTCTTGGTAGCTTAGAAGGCCCAACCCAGAACTTGAGAGAGAGAAGAGACTTAACATGGAAGCCAGTTGATGTATCTGAAAAACGAACATCTTGAGGAGCCAAGTGAGAGTCAGGGAGACGCGTTTCTCCTCACAAGCGCTCTCTGTAGTCCCCGCGGGGAGAGGGGTCCATCACTGAGAATCACAGGCAGGGGCTGGGCAGGGAAATGCCCAGCCACCAGCCCCCAGGTGGGGGAAGGAGGGTATTTGTCGACGGATTGCTTGGGTAAAAATACTCCCACCACAGCCAGTCCGCAAGCTACGAATAGGCTGTCATTGACCGTGCAGTTGGGAACAGATGTCTAGAACCCACTCTTGGGAGCGAATGTGAGGGGGTTTCAGCCTGAGTTTGCCTGAGAAAAGGTACATAAATTGCTGGGGCAACTGCAGCAACCCCCAGCCCCTACTGTGTTCTATTCCCCAATCTAACTCTGCAGAAACGGCAGTATTTATTTCTAGAGGACCGTGATTCATATCATTGGCCGAAGATAAAAAGAAAATAAAATTTCTGATAGGAAAAACGTTCAAGACAATTTGATCATCTACACATACATTGGAAATTATTATTCACATTAAAACGGTTTACCTCGGTCTTCTGAGTGACACTTAGCACATTTTTCTCATTGAAAGGCAACAGTTTTAGAATAAAGTTTGGCCGTCTTTTATAAAAGAATTGCACTGGGATCAAGATTTTATAAATGGTCTCTTTTAGAATTTGAGAGGAATTGTGTGTTTTACTCTAGAAAGTGATTCTGTCGCCAAGAGGGTTATAATGTACCCATTTTACAGATGAGAAAATCGGACTGAAAGAATGTTCAGTGACATTTCAAAAAGGTGCATTATAAATGATCACAAGAGCCCAAACTTTTCACCCAGTTTAGTAGCAGGTATAGTACTTTCAACTCAACAAAAGATATATAGGGAGCACAACTCCCAATTCACAGCACAACCATATTCTTTTCCATAAACAGGTCTCTATGTTGCTTGCCTATTGGTTTGTTCATCCAGAAACAGTTGTTGAGTTACCTACTACACATCAGGTACGGTGTCAGGTAAGGGACACACCTCTTGCCATCACACTCAGAACACACAGGATCATTGCTGTCGAATGTGTCTGCTGCAGTTTTGGAGTTCTACAGAGGATCAAGAAACCAGGGCGCAGGTGTGGGCTTTAAAGAGAGCGTAGAGGGGGCCGCACAGCACATACTCTGCACCTGCCTGTGGGCGTGGCCCTCCAGCACTTCTCTGCTTCCTGCAATAGGGCTCACACTCGGCCGTAGGTGATCTAGATGCGGTGTTAGATCATTGCACTTACTTGTCTCCGTTCACTTGAAATTTGCAGAAAGCTTGCGGAAGGAAAGCACGAAGAGAATAACCAACCGATGCAAGAGTTAGGATCGCGGCCCTCCCAGCAGCCAGCTGTCCATGTACCCCAAGTAAGGACCCTCGCATTTTAAATGTGACACCCCAGCCCTTTCTTGTTGCAGATTCTTTGGATTCCTGGGGTCCGGTGGGTAGGGAGAGGGACACAATAGGAGTCAGAAAGAAGCCAGCCCAATTTTGCCCAATTCCAGAGGATCTTTTGGGGTTCATGCTAAACTCCGTCAATGGTTAGAGCACCCCCAATCCACAGCAGCTGAACGTAGAGATAGATCTGCTGGTTGATTCACCCACCAGACAATGAGTACCGAGCCCTGGGGGTGCCGTGGGTCTGCTCTGGAATGTCTTAATTAACCTTCTCTAATTGACCTCTCCAAGCCCAGCTCCTTGCAATCAGTGTGCAGAGGCCCCCCACTCCAGTAGGCCTCAGCCCAGAGGCACGCATCCCCACTTTTGTGAGTCACCAAGTGCAACTTCGCCAAGTAAGGACCAGAGGCAGAGGTCCCCCGTTCCGCAAGCCAGCCTCCTGCCCCGAAGCACTGATCTTAATTTGTTCCATGGGTTAGTGAGACCGTTATTCTCTTCCATGCCTTGGATCCTGGTTCTGCTGCTGCTCCTTTGCAGATGCCTGTATCGCTGTCTTCTGACTTTGGGAGGCTCCCTGTGCAGGGACCACGGATCCAGAGGACATGCTCCATTCCTCGCCCTGGCTGCTAATGAGGTCCCACCCCATTTCTCAGTGGGCTCATTTTATATGCAGCCGGATGGCATTCCTGGGAATCTTCTTCACAGTTACCCCCACGTGAACCGTATCATTCATTATCTTTCCCCACCTTCGTAGTAGACCCTTGCCAAGAAAGGTCACTTGGTGGGAGTTACATGGTGCAATTGAATTTCACCCAGACATCATAATCTGCTCTCCACCTGGACTGTATCTTACTTACACACATATGACCGGGGGCGCTGGCAGGATGCTTCCAGACGGCATTGGCCTCCTGCTCATCTCACTCAGCCAGGCTTTCTCCAAGGACCATCTTCGTCGTCGTTGTTGTTATTGTTGTTGTTGTTAGGTGCATCGAGTTGGCTCTGACCCACCGTGAGCCTACGCACAACAGGACGAAACATCGCACGATCCTGTGCCGTCTTCACAGTTCTGCCTGTGCCTGAGTCCACTCAGCACACGTGCCAATCGGTTTGACGAACTGTGGTGGCTTGTGTGTTGCTGAGATGCTAGAAGCAAGGTCACTGGTAATTCAGATGCCAGCAGGGCCACTCAAAGTGAACAAGTTTCAGCAAGAGTTTCCAGACAACAAAGAAGGACTTAGAAGGACTTGTCTCCCTACAGTGGCTGAAGAAGCCACTGAAAACCTTATGCATGGTTTCAAAGCACTGTCAGACAGGACACTCTAGGAACACTTACCTTTCTCCTCTCAGTTGTAGCATCCAATTCACTACAGTCAGGATCACCATTCAACAGAATAGGACCCAATTCATACCCTCTACTAAAGTCAGATCCGAGTCTCATCCTATTGCTATTCCTTAGCAAATGATGGCCCCCAAAATGAGACAGAGGCCACAGGCCTATGGGATCTAGAACTATAATACATCACATAAGCTATTGTAGCTGGAAGGGCCGTATTCACAGAGTATAATTCAAGCTTCTAACGACTAGGTCATCAGTTCAAAACCACTAGCCACTCCACAGGCGAAAGATGAGGCTTTCTAATCCTGTAGAGATTTACGGCCTTGGAAACTCACTCGGGCAGTCCTACTCTGTCCTGCAGGGTGGCTGTGAGTTGGAATTGCCTTGATGGCAGTGGGCTCCGTTTGGGGGGGTTACTGTGTGCAAGAGCACCTTACTGCTTGTTTCTTTCCTTTCCGTCTCATTGTCCATTGTGCTCGTTAATAGAAGAAACCCAAACCCATTGCTGTCGAGTCAGATCCGACTCATGGTGACCCCGCTGGGTCAGAGTCGAACTGATGCATAGAGCAGCATGTGATGAGAAGAGCAGCCCCTTCGGAATTCTGGGCTTTCTCCCTCAGAGCAGCAGCTGGTGGGTTAAACTGCTGTCAGTGAGGTTAACGCCCAACACATGACCAGTGTGGCACCAGGGTTCCTCCCCTGAGAGCAAGGGTTATTGGCTGTAATTTCCACGGAAGCAGGTTTCTGGACCTTTTTTCCTTTGGGGCCAACTAGTTAGGTTCCAACCACCAACATTAAGTTAATAATCCTATCTACATACTACCACGGAGTCGATCCTGACCCATAGCCATGATGTCTAGTGTTGCAGTGGCCGTCAATCTGTATGAGAGAAGATAGACTCATTGTTTTCCCTTGGAGCAGCCGGGGTGAAGTTTAGGTTAGCAGCCCCTCACTTAGCCAACAACAGTGCTCCTAGGGCTCCTCACTCACTGCCATCCAGTCCATAGCAACCCTACAGGCCTGAGAAGAGCAAGGAGTGGAAAGCTTCCTCGTTCTCCCTCAGAGCAGCTGGTGGTTAAACTGTCTGTGAGGTTAATGGCCCAACACATGACCAGTGTGGCACCAGGGCTCCTCTCCTGACTGAGAGCAAGTGTTTTTCCCACCTGGGGATCTATTGCGTTCATGACCCCATTCTGACCTTGAAGAACAATCATAGATTTCCACTAACTAATACAGTTGCTGAGCCACATGACATGGGCCCTAAGGTCATGTCCTCCACCTCCCAAATCCCTGAAAAGCAAACGTCATTGTGCTGAGTGGTCAAAATAGCTCCACAGGCCTCTGGTCATGCAGCATCTCATCACTGTGATTCTGCGTCCTCTTTGTATAACAACCATCAACACCAGCTTCATGGCACGCCTGGTACAAGTTTCTTGGGATGGGTTCACTGTCTTCTCCCTCTGCCATTGTACAGATCTTTAACGATGTTACAATTATACTTTGTTGTTGTTGTTGTTGTTTAAGGTTCAATACACACACATTTGTGATTTGGGTGAAAGTTTGAAAAACAAAGAGGTTTTCCAGTTCACAATTCATAAGCATCTTGTTTCATGGCATTGATTGGGATCCTCACAATATAGCAGCCCCTTCCCATTTCCTCCCGGGTTTCCTATTTCCATCCATCCTTCTTTCTTATTCCTTCCTTCTGAGCTTTATCCCTCGGGTAATGCTGCACTTCAGATCCTGAATGGTGGATTGTTCTAAGGGGGGCATTCCTCTGCGGTGTTATTGTTTGCATCATAGACCTGTGTGCTGTTTGACTGAAAGTTGGCTACAGCACTGAGTTCACAGTTCACCTCCAGGACCGGAGCGTGTCTACGAGCCATATACTCTTGGGGGGTTCCACAAGTTACTATTAAATCTATAAGCCTGGTCTTTATGGCTTTGATTTTCGGTCTACATTTTTCTCCCACTCTATCCACACCACCTCCTGGGTGATCCTTTTCAGAGTGGTTGGTTTCCATACTTGGGCACAAGGTTCTCCACGGATTCACTCTCATGGATAACTTACACTGTCTCTGCATCTAATTGAGCATCATTCATTCTCTCAAGGAGAGTTTTCCTTGTACACGAAGGACCGATGCCCTTGGCACTGTGGGGATAATCCCTAGAATCCTGAGAACACGACTTCTACTGTCCTGTAGGCTCCAGACGCCAGTGCGTGCAGGAGCTCATTCTTTACACGGCAGAACCTGGGAGCATTTAGTTTCTGTCCATTTTGAGAGGAAGACGCTTCCAGTGATCTGCCCTTGTGAACTATTTGGGGGCTATACATGTTTGTTTGTTGTTGGGTGCTGCCTAGTTGCTTCCAAGTCACAGTGACCTGGACAAGTCAGTCCCTGCTCATTGCACCCTACGGACCCGCACTGCCCAGTGCTGCACCATCCTCACACTCGTGTCTATGTCTCAACCGGTGTGTCCGTCTGTCTTGTTGGCAGCCTTCCTCTTTACCTAGCATGGGTCCTTTTCAGGGATTGGTTCCTTCCTGATAACATGGCCAAAGTAGGTGAGATGAAGCCGCACCTCCCTCCCTTCTAAAGAGCATTCCGGGTGTACTTCTTCCAGCACCGATTTGGTCATTTTTCGATCACAATATAGTCAATATTCTTCGCCAACATTGTAAATCAATTCTTCTCTGGTCTTCCTTATTCATTGCTCAGCCTTTGCATGCATATGGGGTGACTAAATTATGCAGGGCTTGCGTCAGGCACACCTTTGTCCTCAAAGTGACATTTAAAAGACATGTTGGAGAGGATTCGCCCAGTGCAATAATACGTCATTTCATTTCTTGGTTTACATGTACGTGGACTGCGGATCCCAGTTCAGTGAAATCCTTGGCATAATCGTATATTCTCCATTTATCATGATGTTATCTACTGGTCCTGCTGGGAGGATTAGCTTTCTGGCATTGTCATGTAATCCGCCCTAAAGGCTATTGGCTTCCATCTGCATCAGCGAGTGCTTCAAGCCTTCTTCCCTTTCAACAAGCAAGGTTGAGTCACCTGCGTACGACAGGGTGTTCATGAGTCTTCCCGTCCTAAGGCCGAGCACGTCTTCATACAGTTCAGTTTCTTGTATTATTTGCACAGTTTACAGATTGACTAAGTATGGTGAAATGATACAATCTTGACAGCTAGCTGCCTTCCCTGATTTTATTTATTTATATATATTTTATGGTTTAAGAGTATCAGTTTTATTATTGGTGTTTTTCTAATATTCTTCTCTTGTTACATCCAGTTAGTAGTCTTAATGTAAAAGGAAATGTTATTAACGTTTAACTGTTGATTGTGGTGTTTGCTGTATTTTTTTTGAGAATTCTTTTTTAGGTTAAGGATATGCATGGTTAATTTTTTTAAGCCTTTTCTGATTTTAAACCATGTAGTATTCCCTGGTTTTGTTCAGATGACTGCCTCTTGGCTATGTACAGGTTCCACTTGAGCACAATTATGTGTTCTGTAATTCCCATTCTTAGCAATATTATTCATAGTTGGGTTTTTTTATCCACACGGTTGAGTGCTTCTGCACAGTCAGTAAAACACAGAGAAACAACTTTCTAGTGTTCTCTGCTTTCAG